TTTGTACTGATTTCTGACCACGTGGCAATCGATGTCTAGATGCTTTGTTCTTTCATAGAAAACCGGGTTGGCCGTGATGTGTAAAGCGGCACGATTATCACACCAAAGAGGTATAGGAGTATGAATAGGAAGTGACAGGTCATTGGCCAAAAAAGAAAGCCATTGGAGTTCACACACCGTGCTAGCCATGGATCTATACTCAGCTTCTGCCGATGAACGAGAGACGGTTTTCTGCTTCTTTGTCTTCCATGATATCAAGGCTTGCCCCAAGAAAATGCAGAAGCCAGTGAGATATTTTCTTGTGAGGTTACAGCTACCCCAATCAGCATCAGAAAAGGCCTCCAAAGACTGTGAAGGGCTAGCTTTGTAGTAAAGTCCCAGATTTGGTGTTCCATTTAAATATTTCACCAAGTGAAGAGCTGCATTCCAGTGTGCCTAAGAAGGAGCTTGTATGAATTGACTAAGTTGTTGAATGCCATAAGACAAGTCTGCTCTTGATAAGTTGAGGTAGAGCAGTCTACCAATGAGCCTCCTATAATTCTCAGGATGATCCAATGGTGGAGAATCAATTGAAGAGAGATTCATGCCTTGGGGTAAAGGTGTCACAGTAGGTTTAGAATCCTGCAATCCCAAATCAGCTATAATGTCCAATACATATTTTCTTTGGCTCAGAAAGGTTCCATCTGTAGTCTTCTGAATTTCTAGGCCCAAAAAGTATTTAGCCTGTCCAAGGTCCTTGATGGTAAAAAGATCATTGAGGAAAGCCTTGAGTTGCTGTATTTGTGCTAAACTATGACCAGTGATGAGGACATCACCTACATAAATGAGTAGAATGAGTAATTGTGCACCTGACCCTTTGTAGAACAAGCAGTGGTCATGAGGAGATTGGGTGAAACCATAGGCCAAGAGTTTGTCTGAGAACTCTATGTTCCATTGCCAACTGGCCTGCTTTAAACCATAAAGGCTTCTTTTCAACAGACAGACTTCATTGGATTTTGCTTTG